AAAGAAACGACGTTAGACCATCGTTAGACAATGCACGGCCTTCAAGCCACACCTCCGTGCCCGTCGGAGAGCGTGAGGTTTTTTTCGTTACGAAATTTCTGGATTTTCCCGCACTCAAGGCCCGCGATAGAAGCTATGCAATAGCTTAAAAGAAAACGTTTTTTACAGCTTTTACAATCCCTTGCTGGTGGATATATAGGCCGTTTCAAGATCTCACAAACTATGAAACTATCTTTAAAAAATATTTGTACACTCCAAAATGGACAAGTGGAGCTCAAAGCTTTACCTCGCGCTGCTAATCATCATCATATTTCATACATCATACATTACCATTAAATGCCATGCATGATGTGTGGTAACGTAAAAGAACCCATCACCACCTTTCGTCCCGTAGGTGTAAGCGCAACAATGGGATATGTTTACGATAGATTACGGTATAATCAACTCAACGCCAAGCGTAAGATACTCGGCCCGGTTACGGGATGCATCGTCAACGGAGCAAAACTTCTAGTACTGCTAACGTCAACGCGTCTGCGAAACGTGACGATTAAGACAATACTTTCAAAAATAGAAGAAAACCTATCCTAACCTATCGCCTAGCAGTAGACTTTTCAGGTCTGACAAAGAAGAAGAAGATTACTTATACGTACCAGAACCATGCTGCAGCTTTATTAGTTGTAGAACGAATGATTTGATCAAGGAAGACCACTATCTCACAGAATACCAGCATAAAATAGCAGCTTGATGCTACTGTGTTTTGTATGGTGACTGTAAAGAACCGGATACCGTTTTTACTGGAAATGAAGTGTTTCTTCTTATACGTCAGGGGCGACAACGACTCTGCATTTTGATTTTTAATCTTCCATGAGCCATAGAATCCACTTACCATCAGGTGGACTATGTACCCGTTTGTCACATTTATTCTATAAAAAACAGCAAAAAAAATTAGTATAATTAAAGCTACTTATTTACTAAAATATTGTAAATGTCACTTATTTGTTGCTGTCGTAAATATTGTAATGTTATTTTAAAGTAACAAATGATCGTAAAACGTGCGATAAACGATTTTTTTATCAGTATCGTTACTTCCATCCAAATCTCAAGCCGTATTTGTGTGCGTCCGAAGAAGCATCATGTAAAAGAAATAAGAACGCTTATTTTATTTATTTACAAATACGCACGCAAATAAAACAATTTATTACTTTCTTATTCGAGACAGAGCGACCTGACGATTTATTTTATCCGATCTGTAGGTAATCTAATCCAACACGCTACAAGACCGGTAAGTAATTATTTCTACAGGCCCTTTTTTATTTTACTTAAAGGAATCTCAGTTAATGCCAAGTGATAAAATGTTTTTTTGTGTTTGAATGAATGAAAATGTTTGACCAAACGCTATAAACGAACCCACAGTCCATTTGATGGTAAGTAGATGCTGTGGCCCATAGACATTTACATCTATCCTCGATTAAGAATCACAATTCAGATGCGTTGTCACCCCTAAGGATTAAGATAAAATGTCAGTGCAAACGGTCTGCGGTTATTTTCACTCACGATACGAAACACAGCAGCATTAAGCTGCTATTTTACGCTGACATTATGTGGGAGCACAGAAGGACCACGCCCTCACGCATAGAAATCTAAATAATAAGGCACTTAGTGCATTATTATTTAGATTTCTATGCGTGAGAGCGTGGTCCTTCCCCGGTCGAACCGACCAATTCGTGCTATAACCGTAACGCGGCTCTACCATGACAAAGTAATACCAAAGAGCAGACTAATTGCTGATAGACATTTGCCTTTCTTTAAGTCCATTATTGAACGTAGACCTCTCCAAAGATTGTCTCATAGGGAGTATTTTGCCATAGTTGCCACGCTTGGCAGGCGATTTGGCAACCGCAGTTTTTATTAATTTGAGTTGTTAGATGTTGTAATAGGCAGATGCTACTGCCCATCTCTTACGACACCCACGGGACCATACGGGGTAGGGGATATTCTTACACCGCCACTGCACGGATAATAATAACAAATACCAAAAACACGGAGATATCCTCAAATACAAACTTCGGGCGGTTCATTGAGTCCAAGACCAAAGCAGCTGCAAGGGAGCTAAAAGTCCTTGCAAAGGTGTGGCGATACTTCACGCCAGGACAGCTGCTTCTTTATATAAAGCGCAAGTCTGGTCGTGCATTGTTGCGCCCTCCTTTCTGCCAAGGAGGGTCGCGTTCGTATACGGCTTAGAGATCTCTAGTCAGATCGTTAAGCCAGTTCCTAAAAAGGTTGGGTTTAGTGGGTAACAGTCACCACATAACCACGCAGCCGGCTGCGTGGTATGCTATGAGCATTCCCAACCTCCCTCCCCCGCTTTCCGGAGGGTTGCCCATATTTGCTTCGGGCGACAAAAAAAAAATCGTGCATTGAATATTGCTGCAATATATGGGTTAGTGCTGCAAAATGCCACCTTTGGACTCAGTGGAAAGGCGTGTTAAGAGGCTTATTTTTGACTCGAATTTGGATAAAACCAATCTTACCAGCCTCGAACACAGGCGCAAAGTAGCCAGCCTTTCGATTTTCTACAAGATGCATTTCGGAGAGTGTGCGCAGGAATTACATAATTTGATTCCTCCTCTCCCTTTCATCATCGGATATTCAGACGTTCGGCCAGTCTCCACCCTTTCGTTTTTGACAAACAAAACGTTTTGATTTTTATACATACAGCAAAGAAGTGGAATAAGTTGCCAGCATCTGTCTTTCCATCCAATTAGAATGTGGGTCTTCAAGGTAAGAGTGGATAGGCTTTTGTTAAGTCAGTGCGCTTTACCATCTTAAGCTACATCACCACTTACCATCACGTGGGATTGTAATTAAGCACTGGCTTAGAATAATTATTAAAAAAATAAAGTGAAGTGGCGCCGAAAAGGGCCCGAAAAGTTGGAAATTAAAAAAAAGTTTAAATCCATAAAATTTATAAATCATTGTGTGAATATTCGCCATTTTGCGAAGGGAGACCAAAATATGGAAGCAACAATTTCACAAAACTTATCAACAGTAAAATGACTAATCTCACCCGAGAAGTATAAACGAATTCCATTCCGTGATTTTATGTTCAAAACTGATTTTCTTGTTAAAAAGTTTTATAATGAATACGTCACTGAATTAATATATAGATAACTTTCATAGCGTTAAGACCGATTTACACTTCGACAAGTACAGTAGCGAGTTAACTTGCGAACCTAACGAGTTAAGTTTGAACCTCGTTTGAACGGCAATAAGCGAGTCAGTTACTTAAGTTGAACGGGATAGCCGGCCGAGCTATTTTTCGGCGAGTTAAGTGCGAAGTGCTGTCCTCCCTCGCGTCTCCCGCCACCCGCAACTAAACTCGCCGCTCATGTGAACAGTGTTGCCGATGTGGCATTTTTAATGCTAAATTTGGTATATTTTTAAACCTGTTGGCATGAAAGAAATGGCTTTAGCATATTGCATATTTTAGCATTTTTTCGAATTTTACGTACTAGTGATTTCAATTCTTTTTATGGGATAGACAAATTGTTTACACTAACTGCCATATCTCACTGTTCACTCAATATTTACTCTGTGCAAAAGATTGAACTAAACCCATAGACAAAAAATTTAAAATTGTTACTGTGATTAATTATTATGGCAACTCTATTATGATTTGGGGACTTTCCCGAATAGTGAAAGATTTTGTTTATTTTCCGAGTAAGCAATGTGTAATGTTTTGATTCATTCGCATTCGGACCATTACTCAACAAGTGCAAGTACCGAAACTTTTAATAGCTTTAAAATAAACGTTTGTGCTTTTGTTTTGTGTGTGTGCTTTAAAAGTAGTTTACAATTGACTTTGGAGGGATAATATGCCTCCAAAATATGAACAACATTATCGAGAAGAATGGGAGAAGATGAGTGAGTTTAAACAATGGCTTACACGAGCTAAAGAAGATTCGACCAAAGCTTACTTCAAATACTGTAAGTACAACATTATAGCCAAAGTATCCTGTTTAAAACAACACATTGGTACATCAAAACATGCGAAACATGTTGTGCCGAAAAAAAGTCAAAAAAAATTGATTTTCCTAAGGTGCATATTCAACTAGATACCCAAAGAGCAGAGTGTTCACTTGCGTTATTTATAAGTGAACATGCATCTACTTTAACAGTGGACCACTTGTCCGAAATGTGTAAAAAAAACATTTTCTGATAGTCGAAGTGCCGATATTAAATTACACCGAACGAAATGTACCAACATCATTAAATATGCATTGGCACCACACTTTATTTCAGAACTGGTTGCAGACATAGGCCATAATAAGTTTAGTATACTGGTTGACGAATCCACAGACATCTCAGTCACAAAAATTCTCGGCACATCAATCCGATATTATGACAGTTCACATAAAAATATTATCACGACATTTTTAGGATTGGTTGACATAGAAAACGGGACAGCTGATGCTATAGTAAACGGCCTCAAGACTCTTTTTGCAGAGCTTAAACTAAATATGAAAAACTTAATAGGTATAGGAACTGATAATGCCAGTTCTATGACTGGTGTCAACAACGGTGTTCACAGCTTATTAAAAACTGAAACTGGCAATGAAAATCTGGTTTTGGTGCGGTGCCTTTGCCATTCCCTGCAATTAGCTATCACACATGCGTCTGAGGAGTCACTTCCGAGAAATATTGAGTTTTTAATCCGAGAAACATATAATTGGTTTAGCCATTCCTCCAACCGACAGTTGTTTTACAAGGAGCTATACAAGACCATTAACTGTGGAAAAGAACCTTTGAAAATAACTCAGGTATGCAGTACGCGATGGTTGTCTACTGAGCCTGCTGTCCGCCGGGTTATAGATCAATGGCTGGAATTAAAAACGCATTTCGAAATTGTCAAACAAAAAGAAAATTGCTATATAGCTGAAATGCTTTATTCTATGTATAACGATCCTGTGAATCATCTGTATCTGCTATATTTATTGCCTATGTTAGATGAAGTGCAAAGGGTAAATAAAAATTTTGAAAGCAACGACCGAGACCCGACTAAACTGCTGAATGATTTGGTTGAACTGGTTGAATCAGTCGCCAGAAGAATCATATTGCCAACAGCGCGAATTGATGTGTTGACAGCTACAAATCTTGAAAGCTATCTAGACCCATCTCCATACATGGGCTATGGTTTCGAACTGAAGCTGACTGAATATGAACTTTTACCTGAAGCCGAACGTAATCTGCGGCACCGCTGTAAGCAGTTTACACTTAAACTTGTACAAGAAATGCGATCAAGGTTGCCAACAAATGTAAAGATATTACGAACAATGAATATGATTTCTGTACAAGAAACTTTAAAAGCTACAAAACCACCAATAATAGAACTCGCACAAGAATTCGGCTGCCAGGCCAATGAAATTGAACGTATAGTTATACAGTGGAGAAATATTCAACATACAGACTGGGAAAATAAATGTTCAACTGTCGAATTTTGGTCGGAGGTTCATAAATACAAAGACTCGGCGGATAATAATCCATTTTCGGAGTTAGCTTCTTTGGCCATATCTATTCTTTCTTAGCCACACTCGAATGCTGAGATAGAACGAGTATTCAGCCAAATGAATATCGTAAAAACAAAATTAAGAAATCGTATGTCACTACATACTCTGAACTCGATCCTACACATCAGATATGGCCTTAAAAGATCAGGAAAATGTTGTCATTCCTATAACGTTCCCGAACATGTTTTAAAACAGATTAGAGGGATTAAAGAGTCGCTTGTGATGCCAATGACTATTGCTTTTGAAGATGGCCCTTCAACATCACAAGCACAAGTACACGACGAAGCTAATATTGATGATCTACAAATATTATTTGATTTATCTTGATGAATAAATTTACTTTAAAATAGCACTGCGTTTTTAGTTACACTACCTACTTGCAATTTATTTTCATTTCTTATTCATTTAAACAAGACTTAGCAGCTGGCATTTTTTCTAGCATATTCAAGTGTGATTTAGCACTTTTTTAGCATTATCACCGCCAAAGTCTAGCATTTTTTTCATTTACAAAACGGCAACACTGCATGTGAACGAGCGAGTTTAGTTCAGTGCATAAGTTGACGGGACGCAACGTTTGCGCGCCAAAACGTACAATTGTACCTTTACAATTAAACTCGCCGCAAAGTTTGTACGATACTGTTTATTGAATATTTATACTTTTTATATTGAGTTTTAATAATAAAATGGACGGAAGATATCACGTATAAATTTGTACAGTAGTATTTAGAACACGAATGTTTATATAATAGCAGAAGTTCAAATTGTAAAATTAAACCTGCTCGAGATGCCGCACTCAAGAAAATTCTTAAAAACTTTTTTAACAACAACCATTAATACTTCTCTGACTGGATCATTTAATTCTTGACTTAATCCTAGAACCATCTTAAACGAAAGCCAGAAAAATTCTGTAGTCTTGAAACGTCATACTCCAACGAACTCTATGAACTAATGTCCTTAACTAAACTCGCCACGAAGACATTGTTTTAACGTCACTGCCCACTTAACCGTTAACTGTCAACTGCCCTGTAACTAAACTCGCTACTGTACTTGTCGAAGTGTAAATCGGTCTTTACGCGGCTTACATCTAGTAAATTTACTTTCAAAACTGTATAAAGTAATTAATAGAATCGGGCATTACTTTGAAGAAAACCATTATATAATATAGATAATAAAGACGTTAAAAATTAATTAGCTAAAATCCGCGTTATAAAGAATTATGTGCCTTACCTAGTTTGAAGAGCGCCTCCTGCCCTCCCTCAATTGCATGCTACGCTAAGAAAGACACACAACCGTCGATAACACGACACGTGATTCGCCTGTAAATAAGGCATCCTCAGATAAGTTTTTCTTACGTGGTAGAGCCGTGCTTCAGCTATATTGTGATTGCAGCACGAATGGATCGGCACGACTGGAGTAGTACCACGCTTTTACAGAATACCAGCGTAAAATAGCAGCTTAATGCAGCAGCATGTTGTTTCGTACATTGAGTGTAGAGAACCGGAGACCCTTTTTACCAGAAACGGGGCATTCCATCTCAGTGCTTAGGGCTGGCAACGCATCTCCATTTTGATTCTTAATTGAAGATAAAAATAGATGTCTATGAGCCAAAGCATCCACTTATCATTTGTGTGCTCGTTTGTCACCCTTATTTTATAAAAAAGATAGACTCTTCGGTGGCTGAATGCTAAGTGAGCCAACGAGGAAGGGAGGTGCTCCTGAAACTAGGTGAGACACATCATTTTATTTTGTTATGCGAATCTTAGCTTATTAATTTTTAACATATTTAATATAATGGATTTCGGCAAAATAACGCCTGATTCTACTCGTATTAATTATATAACCGTTACCGTTACGGCCTATTAAAGTCCACTGCTGGACATAGGCAGCAGATTACTTCATATGGGGGTATATTTGCCATAGTTGCCACGCTTGGCAAGAGGATTTTGGGGCAAGAAAAAAGAGATTTTTATGTATGAACATCTGAAGGTTTGGAAGAAAGAGTTGATGAAGTCAAAGCTACGTCCCCCTCGTGCTTTAATCCAAAATCCCGAAACCTTTCAATTCGAGCAAAACCGTTTTCAGCGTCTAGAAGATTGCAATTCAGTGGACGATATCAATGACAAGCTCGTGAAAACTGTCCATGCGTTCTGTCTGGTTGTTAAGTTCTGCAAGACCCGCCACAGAAGAACACAAAAACTCTCCGATCACACTCTTAATCTCATGGCTGTTAGACGGGAAATGAAGCTGCAGTCGTCAGCAGATTTGACAGCATACAGGCAACTGAACAGTCAGATCTCCAAATGCATGCGGCGGGACTTACGCAACTTCAATACAGCTTGTATTGAAGAAGCGATTGAGCGGAACCAGGACTCCAAAGTCTTTGCCAGAGATCTGTCTGCCAGAAAAAGCCAACCATCACAGCTGAAGACTGAATGTGGCAGCATCGTTTCAGAGACACATGAGATTTTGAGTCAGATTGAGAGGTTCTATGGGCAGCTGTACACATCATCGTTAGAGCCATACGTAAATATGAATAACGATCCAAGAACAAGTCTTATCCGACACTATTCCGATGATATCCCGGAAGTCAGTCTGAGCGAGATTAGAAAAGCTCTCCAGCGCCTTAAAACGGCGTCCCCGGTGAGGATGGAATTACAACGGAGCGTCTGAAAGCGGGTGGAACACCGGTACTTAAAGTCCTTCAGAAGCTCTTCAATTCCGTCCTCCATGGTGGCACTACTCCAGAGTCGTGGAGCAGAAGTAAGATGATCTTGTTATTCAAGAAAGGCGACAACGCTCTCTTGAAGAACTACAGATTGATTTCCCTTCCGAGCCACGTCTACGTGCTGTTTTCAAGAGTCATTACGAATCGTCGCGCACGCAGACTCGACGACTTCCAGCCTTCCGAACAAGTAGGTTTCCGAAAAGGCTTCAGTACTATAATAATAATGTCCTCCAGATCGAATTTCGGCCACGGCGGCCTGCCTCAACGAAGGCTAGCCATCGGCGCAGGACAGGATTATAGTGCCGAAGTGTATGCGCAAGCACAGGTGTGCTCTCTATTCCCTCACTCTCATAATCCGATGGGACGGTAAACCGACCGACACCGGCAAATTCCTCACTCCGGGCAACTACTGATAATTTCTTGACAGAAAAACTCAATAATTGATTCTTTGGCCCGACCAGGGATTCGAACCCAGGACTTCATAATTAGCAGTTGCACTACTACAATCACTAGACCAACGAGGCAGTTACCACAGACCACATACTTACCCTGCGGCAGATTGTACAGAAGACCGAAGAGTACAATCTGCCACTTTGCCTGGCTTGTGTGGACTATGAGAAAGTCTTCAATTCCGTCGAAATTTGGACGGTGCTACAGTCACTTCAGCGGTGCCAAGTTGACTGTCGGTATATCGGAGTTCTGAAGTGTTTGTACAGTAGGGTTACGATGGCTATCCAAGTACAGAACCAGAGTTCGAAACCTATCCAATTGCAGAAAGGTGTAAGACAGGGTGATGTTATACCACCGAAACTCTTCACTGCTGTATTGGAAGACGTTTTCAAGCTACTGGACTGGAAAGGATACGGTATTAACATCAAATGGCGAGTAAATCACTTACCTTCGATTTGCCTACGATATAGTCCTTATGGCAGAATCGCTGGAGGACCTTAGCACTATGCTCAATGGCCTCAATAGTGTCTCCCAACGGATAGGTCTTAAGATGAACATGGACAAAACAAAGATCATGTTTAATGTCCATGTCAAACCTATGCCAGTAGTTGTTGGGAGTACTATGCTCGAAATTGTTGACGAGTACGTTTACATGGGACAAATAGTCCGACTTGGTAAGTGCAACTTCGACCGAGAGGTCAATCGACGGATTCAACTCGGCTGGACAGCGTTCGGGAAATTACGACACATCTTCTCGTCAGGTATACCTCATAACATGAAAACTAGATTGTACAACCAGTGCGTGTTGTCAGTGATGGCTTACGAATCTGAGACGTGATCCTTCACTGCTGGCCGTATGGGGACGCTCAAGATCACATAGCGAGCTATGGAGAGGGCTATGCTCGGGGTTTATCTGCGTGATAAACTTAGAAATGAGGATATCCGCAGTAGAACCAGAGTGACTGATATATATTATTATATATATTGCTTGTTTAAATTGATCTGGAAATAACACCAGATAGAGAACTTAAGTTACATATATGGGCTATGTGAGGTGCTAACAAAGAGTTAATTTTTTTAAAACCTACAGAGATGTCGTTCTATCCCGCACAGTTGGATTTAAGGCTACTAATTATGAGTCTAACTTCTTCCGGATCTGTTAAAAATAACGACATAGATTAGGCTGGACCAATTTGATTAGCTTCCCTGGCAAGTTGAAGGTCAGTTTTATTTAATTTTTAGGATAGTATTGGTTAATTGACTTCCAATTGATATAAATAAATTATTAACTATGTTGAGAGATACTTTTGGGGTTTCAGCAATTTTACTCAGTTCAGCGGATGTATTTCTAGGTTGATTTAAATAACATACGTCTTTTATTAATTTCCAAATATATTTTGAATTACCCAAATTTCGTTTTAGTTCATTTTGATAATACTGCATTTTAACGATTTGATAATGTTTGTACATATTATATTCCTATTAATTTTTTAAACAAAATAAACTATCAAAATACTATAGATTAACAAAAAGAAATCATACATAACCATACATAAATTTGGTTGTGTATGATTTCTTTCACCGTCACAACACGGTAATAAAAATTGATTATATTAACTGGTACTTAAATTTGTAATAAACGATTGCCAGCAGGGATCGAACTTGGGTTGCTTGCGTACTGTGAAATTTACGACAAGCGTTTAACTCTTGAACTGCCACGCCTCTACTGCATGCATATACATATGTAACAAAAACTCCGAGGTTTCCATTAAGTTCATTTATCAGAATCAGTACTCGAACGTATAGAAATTACTTCAGAAAACTCCACCATAAAAAATCAAGA